AATTCAGTATTTTTTATTAAAAACATAATGTTTATTCTTAAAAAAACGTCAATGAATACTGGAGAAGGGGCCCTGGTCAAAATCATTCCAATTTTTTATTGAACACCTGTTAGAACCCAGCAAGACCCATCAGTCTTCGAATGTCCTTCACCGACTTTGGACGAGCGTAGTCCAGGATTGGTTGAATCCTTGAACGGTCAATGAAGACGCCTCGCTCGGTCAGCAAATACCCCAGATTCATCACATGTTTTCTGCAAAACCTGGATTTCTCCAACGATATGGTTAATTTACCCTTCCTCAATCGTTCGTCTACTATTCCGAGGAGTCGAAAATGTTCCTCTGCTGTACTAAGACTTCTTCTTCTTCTTCTTCTTCTTCTTCTTCTTCTTCTTCTTCTTCGCATTTCAACCTTCTTGCTGATCGCACATTAGCTTATTGCGTGCTCTCAACTTAAAGTTCTAGATGCACTTCCACAGTTAGTAATTGAGAGCTTTCGATGCATGTACCATTGTTGCATTAGTATAATTGTGTGGCAAGTCCAATCATACTCTATACCCCGGGGAGGTCGAGAAGTTTTACAACCCGAAAAATCCCTAGACCGGACCGGGAATCGAACCCAGCCATCTCCAGCATGGTCTTGCTTTGTAACTGCGCCTTTACGGACTGAGCTAAGGGAGGCCCCCTTAGCTTACCATAATGTGGTGTATTTTCATTGGAGGGTCAAAATTTGTCTTCGAGCGATAATGCTAGCTCATGTTGTCCCAGATCACTTCGAATTTCTGCGTTCTTAACAGTGGCTTCGATCACATTCGGTTCAGTTTCTCTATCTCGGTGACGATCTGGATCTTTTGAGGGATTCCCTGATCCTGCACACTTAGAAAAAATCATGTAAATTTAGGTGCTCTGAAAGTGACATTTACGAGCGTCAACGTCAGACGCGATATATAGCTCAATAAAACGTACTTTTTGTCGAGCAACGAACTTTTCAGTCTCGGAGCACTTAAAATAACATGACATGTTTGTTTACGTCTCATCTTTAATGTCAAAGACGGATTCCGTCAGGTGTAAAATTAGTTATTTCTAAGTGTGTGGTTAGGATTTTCGAATCGATACTTGATGAGTCTCTCGAACGTTGACCAATCCTAGAACTTGTACACATGCTTGGCATACACAGTTGTACACACCAACTGCTCATTTGCTAATAACTTCGCACACAGTTGACGTAACATAGTTCTGTTTGAAGCAGTAGATAGAATAGAGTTTAAGCTTGTTATAGATACGTAAAAACGAGTAGATTTTAAGTCTAGTAATAAACTGTTTTTGTTTTTGCGTTGTAAAAATGAAGTGAGAAATGCTCGCTGCACATCTCGTACTTTAAGTGTAAAAAATCATTGGTGTTGATTCAAATGTTAAGATTTACCTACTATTTGCATATCTATAGTAAACTATGATCCTAATCTATCAATTACTTTAAAGAAAAACAAATTTCAACAACTGAGTGAAAAGTTATTAACAAATGAGTAGTTGGTGTGTACAACTGTGTATGCCAAGCATGCTTGTACACAATGGTTAAAAAAAACAAATCGGATGCCAGCCCGTCCAAGAGTAGATGAATGTCCCTCAGCAATTGCCGCTTAGAAACGTCCTCTCGTTCCGCAATCTTGTCCAATTGGTATGGGAATTTCTCTACGCTAACTGATCTGGAATCTCCGGGAAACCTGATTTTTCCACTCGGTTGAGATGATCCCTGACGCCATGCTCTCGTCGATCATTGTGACGGTGTCGGCGATTTGGCACCGGCCTCGAATGTCCTCTGTCTGAGTGACTGTTACTCTCCACGGAATCCTCCGAATCGAAATCAGTATGTTATCGTTGCTTCCGGGCTGTCGCATAGTGTCGGTTACTTAGTTCAGGTTTGTCCTTGTCCTCTTCATCACTAGAACCGAAATCGTACTGGGAAAATAATCCAGAACTACGTGAAATCTCTTCTCGAAGATAAGCTTCAGTCAGTTAAAGAAATGCGTTCATTCCTCCATGAGACAGAGGTCAAGCTTTATGGGGTGATCAAGGAAGATCAGGTTGAATCGTGGCAAACGACGAGTGCAAAGTTGGAGGAGATGTTCGATGAAACGCGTTGTCTAATTTGGAACAAGCTTCGAGAAATTGATCCGCCGGTTCCAGCACAAGTTGTGGCTTCTACTTCTCAAACATCACATCCCAAACTGCCAGAAATTCCTTTTCCTCGATTCAACAGCCAGCTAGAAGATTGGATTAGCTTCAAAAATCAGTTTTGTGCCTTCGTTAAGCGTCGTTCCACTAGCCCATTGTTCGCGAGTCTGGTTCTGCATTGCGATGTCTGCTAAATGATGTCACTCGGAATATTCGACCGTTAGCCAATCTCGAATTGAAGCTTGAACCATTATCGGTTCAATTTTTAATCCACTTGACCTGCACTCGCCTAGATGCTCGCACTCGTAAGGATTTTGAGCTTCAATTGTCAAATTGTAGGAATTCCTTGGAATTTTATGGAATTTGCTTACAATTCGTGAAATTTCCATGAAATTTGTAGGAAATTCATTGAAGTTCATATACATTTCCTTGAAATTCATAGGAATTTACTTGAAATTCGTAGGATTTTTTGAAATTCATATGAATTTCCTTGAAATTTGCAGGAATGTCCTTGAAATTCGTAGGAATTTCCATTTCCTTGAACATTTCATTAAAACTCTTATGAATTTCCTTGGAGTTCTTCGGAATTTCATTGAAATTTGATAGAACTTTGAATTTCTGGAAATTCTTAAGAATTATCTTTAAATTTTATGGAATACCCTTGACATTCGGTGTGATTTTCTAAAAATTCGTATGAATTTTTTTGAAATTTTTGAAATTTCCTTGAATTTGTTGGGATGCCCTTGAAATTGTTGGAATGTGGTAGAATATGTTAAAATTTCATTGAATTCATTGGATTTTTTTTCTAAATTAGAAGGATATTCCTTAAAATTCATAGAAATTTCCTTAAAATTCTTCGGACTTTCGTGAAATTCTTAGGAATTTCCTTTAAAATTCTTTGGAATTTCCTTGAAGATCGTTAAAATTCAATGGAAATTCCTTAAAATTTGATAGAATTTTGTTGAAATTCGTAGGAATTTGCATTAAATTGGAATATATTTGAAATTCGGTAAAATTTTCTTGAAAGTCGTATGAATTTTCATGAGATTGATGTAATTTCCTTTAAATTGTTGCAATTTCATTTAATTCGTTGGAATTTCGTTGAGTTCTTTGGAATTTCGTTGAATTTGTTGGAATTTCTATTAAACTGCTGGAATTTCCTTGAAATTTAAATGAATTTCCTCGAAATTCGTATGCATAGGAATCTTCTTGAAATTCGTTGGAATTTCCTTGAATTTCAAAAGAATTTCCGTTGAAATTGTTTGAATTTTCTTGTTATTCGTTAGAAATTGGCTGAAAAGCCATGAAATTTCCTTAAAATTCTTAAGAATTTCCTTGAGGTTCGTTGAAATTTCTTTGAAAATTGATCGAACTTCCATAACATTTGATTGAATTTTGTTCAAATTCTTAGTTATTTTCTATAAAGTTTGGGGAATTTTCTTGAAATTCAATGAAGTTTTCTTGAAATTCATATGAATTTTCGTGAAATTCTTGAAATTTCCTTGAAATTGTTGGAATTGGGTTGAATATGTTAGAATTTCATTGAATTCATTGCAAATACCTTGAAACTCATTGGAAGTTTCTTGAAATTCGTTTGTATTTTCTTGAAATTCGTTGAAATTTTTTTTTTAAATTTTTGACATTCTTTGAAAATTATAGGATTTTTCTTGAAATTCGTAGGAGTTCCCTTGAAATTCATAGGAATTTCTTAAACTTTGTTGGAATATCCTTAAACTTCGGTCGAATTTCCTTGAAACCCATTGGTATATTCTTGAAATGCGTTGAGATTTTCTTGAAATTCGTTGGAATTTCCTAAAACTTTTGGAACTTCCCTCAGGTTTCTGCCCTGAAGTGCGTGCTAAGAACTTTCCTAATGCCGTATGATATTTTCTACAGATCTGTAAACTTATCAGAGCCTTTCTTGGAGTTCAGGTAATGTGCATAGACTTATATTTAAAACGCTGGCTTGAGGAGCATGCCAAAAATTTTGGAGGCATTAAGAATTCTATCCAAAAAAAAGTTACAAAATTGTTTTTATACGCCTTTTTAATAGAAACTTAGCGATTGATTTAATCACTCGTGGTGAATAGGAGAACGTGTGAAGAGTGTTGTGAGCAGAAATTTATGCCGTGAGACATTGGAAGCGAAACAATTTGACGATGACAATCATTCATTTTCGTTTTACAAATCATATGCTTCTGGTTCTGTACTGCTCCGAATTCGCCCTATTCAGATAACACTTTTGAAATTTGTGAGTTTGACTGAACCACCAGCACCAAATTTTTGGGGTACAATGGTAATATACTGGAGTTGTCAAGCTGCCCCCGAGTTGGGGTCAATGCACAATTTGATCACCTCAAATATTGTGAATGGGTTGAAGCTACCGAGATCAAATGTAAACGTCTGTGTTGTAGGTGTTTTTGGGAGACCACAAATACTCAAGAACAAGGTCAGAGCAACGATCCGGTCTACCTTCATGTCCGATGCCTTTTTCAAACTAGAGTTCCTGGTCATGAAAAAGGTCACAACTGATTTGCCGATACAATCATTTCAGGTAGATCCCGAGCGAATCCCAGCAGATGTAGTAATGGGTGATCCTTCGTCCAATCGATCGCGACGTGATCGAGTACAGTCTCCCCCGTGGGGCCCGGGATAATTGTCCCCATTGCTCCCCCACAAATCCGGCACTGAGCTTGCATGAGCATGCTATCAATATTGACGTTTGAGTGGAGTTTTAAGCTGGCATTATTTTTGAGATTTGAGAATGATTTTCCGAGCACTGATTGAAAGCAACATTTCCATTTAAACTGAAAGTATGAAACTTCCCACAGGTGGTTTGTATCTCCCCTACGCTGACAGCGGTCGCATCATCATCGGAACTTGGTGGTTAGGTAAGAAACCGATCTTTCAAGGAACTGCTAAGCCCATGTAACCCATTTGTTTTGCCCACAGTCGTTCTCGTAATTGTCACAACTTACTGTGGAAATCTGGTTGCCTTTCTAACCTTCCCCAAGATTGCCATCCCCATTACCACAATTAACCATTTGATCCGGAATCAGCAGGGTGTTTCGTGGAGCATCCGTAGGGGAACTTTTCTGGAACAGTTCCTTCAGGTACCCGTTGCTTCAAACCCTTGTTGGAATTAAATCATAAGCCCTTCCATATTGCAGGAAACGGATGACCCGAAGTACGTCAAGCTACACAATTACGCCGCGTACGTCAGCGAGGAATCGGAACAGATGGTGGATAAGATCCGTTCCGGCCATCACGTGCACATCGATTGGAGAACCAACTTGAAGTATCTGATGAAGAAGGAGTTTCTGAAGAGCGATCGTTGCGATTTTGTCCTGAGCATGGATGAATTTCTGGACGAACAGATTGCACTGGCCATGCCGAAAAACAGTCCCTATTTGGATGTGATCAACGAGGAGTTAATCAAGATGCACCAGTTTGGGTTCATTCAGCGGTGGCTGTCGAGCTACATGCCGAGTGAGGACAAGTGCTCGAGTGCTAGAAGAAGCACCGAGGTGGAGAACCATACGGTGAACAACGACGATATGGCTGGCTCGTACTATGTGCTGTTGATTGGGTTTTCCCTGGGGATGTTTATGTTTGTGGTGGAGTATGGGTGGCGTTGGTATAAGCGATCGAAGGAACAGACTTTGCAACCGTTCACCAATTGAGAGGATCAGAAGGATGGGATGTGCAGGGTGAGAATGGGAAAATATTTAAAGTTGACTGTCATCTTGATAGTGGTAGTGCTTTACTGTAAAACGATTGTAGTAGCGATGTTGTAGGAGGTTCTAGAAAATTCATGAATGGTCATCACGTGTCACGCATAAAAGTCGAAATTGACAGCTTTCAAAGTTAGGCTATAAGATAGTCTTACCCCGTTCATAGCGAAACCGAAGGTGGTTTAAATCAAGAAAGTGAAAACTCAGTTAACCAGTCCATTAGACCCAGCCGGGCAAAGCAAGCAAGTAGGGTGCATTAACATTGTGAATGCGTCAGCAGCGGTTGGGAAAGTGAACGACGAAAATAGTCGGAATGATATTCACCTAGCACTCACTGGGAGATTCTGTCACCTGTTGAGCAATAGCGGAATACGTCATTCTGTGACGCCCTGCGTAATACCGGCCGGTCGGAGCTGGAGATTTCCCATGCGACCGGGTGTCGTTGTGACGATGACATAATTGGTGGAGGATCTTCATAGTATTTGAGAACGAATGGTAGACAACCGTTAGGGACAGCTGATGGCAACACCCACTCCAGGAAAGTGTAGATGCACAATTAAAATTATTTTCTAATCGAAAAGGCAAGCATGCACAATTATAGCTCGCTGAATTTGACGTCAGTTGCATCAGACGAGCTCCACCGTTATGTTTTGCTGTGTGGAAATGAATCAATTTACATACATTTTGTGAATTGCTAAAGTTGTCCTCAAAGTAAGACGTCATCACGTGTCACGTTAAACTACCGCAACATTTTTCTTAAACTCATAGTCATCCACCCAAACTCAGGTCGAGTAACGATTATCGGTCGTAACCTAGTCAATAGTCAGCTCCAAGAAAAACGCAAAACTATCCCAAGGACACTTACTGAAATCTCTTCCACGAGAGTAGCTAAACCCACATTCGAACAACCAACCCATTCATTGGAGGAAAAGCGCATTAAAGAGTGAAAACAAACGTTTAAAAATCGCTTCTGTTACAGCTCAACCCGAAGCGACACGAAAGCGTCGGAAACATGATTGGCCGGTGGCCACCTTGAAGCTAGAAATGAGTCAGAAAAAAAAATGAAAAGCAAGAATTATTGTTATTTGAGGGAAAAAAAAGCTGTCATTTCAGCCAAGAAAATCTCACCGAAGATCTGTTGTGTCTAATGGGATTATTTTAAGACAAACCACAGAGATTGCATATTGCACACTACTTGTTAGCCATTGAGGAATTCTATTATTCCGTTTAGGATCTATATTAGCGTCACATGATTGCCATACTTTAATGATTCACAGCTGTCATTTCGGTGGCGGAAAATTGAAATACAGAATCACACAATGCAAAACATCACCAGAGTCGATTCATTTCCGAAGGTTGAGCGATGACCTGTGCCCTGCTTAAAATTCCTTCAACCAGAGTTTTGTTTACAATGGGCTGTTTTTGCTTCACAAAACTCGGTGTTTGGGGGTGAGTAGGTGATATCGAAATAAGCATCGGAGCGATAATTTTAGTGCGGTTCGTGATTTATACGACACTCGATGGGAGACATGCGAAGCGAATGAAGATTTCCGTGAGTGATGAGATCAACAGAAAAAAAACGCGGTGTCCCTAGCCTTGCATCACGTAATTTTTGTGAAATTGAAGGACATCTATATTTCAACCAAGTGGAAGATAAATTGTTTTTGTTTTGGTTATTTGCCATCGGGCCGCACTTAAATGCTTATCATCGAAGTCAAGGAGGGGGCATCAAAAACGAACCCATCAGCACATGGACCGGGCACAACTGCTATACCACAGACAAACATTTCTTCCGTATTTCTTCCGAAGTAAGAGGCGATCATAGATTATACTCTACAACATATCCCAACGACTTCGGCTGGGATTGAATCGAGAGCTTGTTAGGGTGAGAGCACAGAATTGAATTGAATTGAGTCAATTATAAATTGTTGAACTTTCACTGTGGAAATTATACAAGAACAAGCCCTGCTGTACCGGGTCCAGTTCTTTGTAGAGTCGTAGAACCCCGTAAGTTTGAATACACGGCCAATGATAATGACAAAAATTTGAGTTTAGTTCACTCATAATCGCCAAAAATAAAGAAACGACATCGAAGTGTGTGTGCTCTGCTTCAAAACGAACGCGAACAAATTTTGCTGTCAAATTGCTCGTATATTATGTCAAGACCAACAATTAAAAAGGCCTTAACTCAATTTTGTAAACAAACCTTGTGAGGCCATTTTGTCGCGAACCGAGTCCGCCAAGACAAACCAACATAATGTACAGATAGGGGGAATTCTCCTGTACCCGGTTGTGTTTTCGGTTCGCGAATGTAGGTTTCGGTTTACGAGAAAATGGCCTTAGGGGACAGTTTAGGGGGGGTTGACAACTATCCACGGCCCATACAAATTTTAAAATTTTGTATGGACAATTGTCTACGCAGGGGGCGGGACGGGGGGTCAAGAATCCCAAAAAAAAGTAGAAGGGTCTGTGCCTAGGGGCACGAACGGAAGCTTGACGTAGGACCGCTAGTGGGCGGAATAAATGTGAAGAGCATTTAGTTCTTTTAATTGATCAATTATCTTTTATCTCAACTCTTTTCCTTTTTGGATTGCAGGCGTACCAAATTTGTAGTATTTTTTTCAAAGCGAAAGTTGATTAAGAGAATCAATCAAAATCACTCGCACTCCTGCTTCCAAGTTTGGTTACAAGATTACAACTCTGGAGAGCATTTTGTGTGGTCGTTGGGGGCTTGTGGTTCTGAATATGTTGTTTGTTCACAGATAAATTATATTCCAACTCTTTACTGATGTAAGCTTGATGGCATTGAAAAGGGCCGTTTTATTGTAGAGGACATCCATGGCCACTTACGCTTGGCGTGTTTAGTGTAGGTGACAGCACCACGGACCTCATTTTCCAGGAACACCTTCAGTCCACCTCGTAGATCAGACCGGAGATACGTTTGACACCGCCACGGCGAGCCAGACGACGGATGGTGGTTATCTTGAAGAACTTTGCGATGACGCTTGGCACCTCCTTTACCAGACCCTTTCCTCATTTGCCACGACCAGTCAATTGTTGCTTGTTGGATGTAAAGGAGTGGACAAGCCACCACCTTCCTACTGCTGCTATTGCTTCTCACCACGCCGTCCGAAGCTAAAATGAGCTAATGCATTTTTTTTTTTACTTTAAATGATCTTTATTTCAGTTCAACTTGGATGATTACCATATACATTTTTTCAAGTGATTTAATTGCTTTCTTCATCTTTAGGTATGGGCAAAATTCAAAATTTGTTTGACAGAATTAGTCCTAGACTTAGTACACGGTCCACCACCTTGGTGGGATTGGTTCGTTTTATTTTTAGAATTTGAAGAGAAACTACTTAATACTACTATTTACAACTTAAAACTAACCTTTTCTACTATATACACTTAACCTACTATGTACAAATTGCTTATTAAAGCATGTTCAGAAAGATTGCATTTTTGAATAAATTTAGTTGTCATATCATCAATTTTGGAATCTACTTTGGGAATTTCTGCCTCTTGATGGAGGTCTGCTAATCTTGTGTCGAATGGACGATCTAGGATCATCCTCAACACTCTATTCTGTGCAACCTGGATTTTGTTCCTGTGGGTCTGGGCGCACGATTCCCACACCGAGGTGGCATAGAAGATCGCGGGGGCTATGATCTGTTTGTAGACAGCCAGTTTGTTTTGCCTTGAGAGGCGGGATCTGCGGCAAATGAGCGGATACAAACACCTAACCAAGGCGGAGCACTTAACTAGGGTTTTCTCTATGTGCGAGCGGAACAGGAGCTTCTCATCGAACAACATCCCGAGATAAGTAACATCAGTGGACCACTCGACCCTTGTACCATCCATTATTACGGTACAGGAGGGAGACGGTTTAAGTTTTGGCGATTGTCTGTGAAGGAACATGATCGTTTGGGTTTTCGAGGCGTTGATTTTGATTTTCCACGTGGTGGCATAATCAGTAAAGGTGTCAAGGCATCGTTGGAGCTTGTTCGTAATTTTACGAGGCATCCTACCCTTGACGGCTATCGCGGTGTCATCTGCGAACAGAAAGAACACGCAACCGTCTCCTAGAGGAGGGATGTCCGACGTGTAGATGCTGTAAAGCAGTGGTCCCAGCAGACTCCCTTGCGGAACACCTGCTGGGATCGGAAATTGTCCCGAAAGGGAACTATTCAACGACACCCTGAACGACCTTTGCTGGAGATAGTTACGGGTGATTTTCACAAGGTATGGCGGAAAGTTGGAGTTACAAAGCTTGTATATAAGTCCGTCGTGCCAGACATTGTCAAACGCCTTTTCGACGTCTAACAAGGCCATGGCTGTGGACTTGGATACAGCTTTGTTACTTCGGATGTTATTCATCACCCGCACTAGCTGATGATTGGTGGAATGCCCCTTGCGGAACCCGAACTGTTCCGGAAGAAGAATGTCATGTTCCTCCACAAACTTGTTTAGTCGGCTGAGGATCAATTTTTCGAACAGCTTGCTCAGCGCTGAGAGCAGGCTAATCGGTCTGTAGCTTGACGGTAGTGAAGGGTCTTTCCCAGGTTTGCGGATCGGGATGATTTTTGCCACCTTCCAGATGCTTGGAAAGTAGTGCAGCTCCAAGCATCTGTTGAGGATGGCAGCCAGCAGCGAGTGCACCCTCGCGCTGAGATTTTTCAACTCTAGGTTGAATATTCCGTCAAACCCGGGAGCCTTCATGTTCGTACTGTGTTTCAGCGCTGAGCAAATTTGTTCCTCTGTAATCCGTTCTTCTGGAGGGACGGCACAAGGGGAGGCATCTAACGTCTGGACGCACTGCACAACCTGGTTCTCGAGTGGACTTGGGATTGTAGAGCCAAGCAAATGCGACTGGGCAATGTGCTTCCCAATCGCATTGGCCTTCTCTTCGTTGGTGATAAGCCGTTCGTCATTGACTCTAAGTGGTGGAATGGGCTTGGGGTGAGACTTCAGCACCTTGGAAACCTTCCAGAATGGTCTGGAACGGTCGTTCAGGTTCTGAACGAGCCGCCCGAAACTCTCGTTCCAGATTGAGACCATTCTGGAAGCGATCTGCCGATTCAGATCGACCATTTCGTATTTACGCTGCAGATCCCCAGTCCGCTGAAACTGGCGTCTACGAACATTTCTGAGCCGAATCAAGAGTTTGGTGTGGGAATCAATTGCTTGAAACTTACTCCTCACAGGAACTCGTCGAACGCACTCTTCATCAGCCACGGATATGGCTTGATGGAGACCCTCCAGGGCCCGGTCGATGTCCTCCACTGTGTCGAGCGGTGGGTTGTCAACGATGTGGCGGTCGACCACGCGCTGAAACTGGACCCAGTTGACTCGCGATGGTAGTCCTTCCGCAGGAACGGTGCAGAGGCCACGTTGCAGCCCAGCTCGGTCAGCACCGGTTGGTGGTCCGAACTCAGGTCGTTGACGGCAACCGGCTTGGCTAATCCGGTGTTTGCCAAGAACAGGTCCAGCGTCGATGGGTTGCCCACCGGTGATGTGAAGGTTGGTTCGTCCGGAAACCAGACGGAATAGAGACCATGCTGGGAATGGTCGAATAGTAGGCGGACGTTCTGGTTTTGCTGGTAGTTTCGCCAGGCCTCGTGCCGGGCGTTCAGGTCCCCTCCGATTACGAAGCGGGCATTGGTGTGGGTTATGATGGCAAGGTCGTTCTTGAACTGATGTGCTGTACCATTGCTAATGGTACATTACCGGGGGCAGTAGGCGGCGATGAACCGGATGTTTCCGGTCGATGTTTCCACCTCTACGCCGACGGCCTCGATGATGGAAGTGTGGTAGTGGGGTAGGGTGCAGTACTTGATGCCTTTCTTGATGATGACCACGACACCGCCCCCC